ATAAAAGTGCGGTAACAGTGTACGGCTAATATACTGTAAACTTACATTTTTCACCCTATTACTGACTTCTGTGCGCCTAGTACATCCGAACTTCCTCAGCTAATTTGGTGAAGTACCAGGCGCACAGAAATGTGAAGTAGGGTGCAAAATGTTCGTTAACAGTACATTAAAAGTGTGCTGTTGTCCTTCTGTTATTTAACAGATCCATATCTGTATTCTGTTAAATAACACTTTACATTTTCTATTGTGCTACTCATTTCTGTTCGCTTGGTACTTTATACTAAATAACCGTTCAAATTTTGGTTCTAACGGCCTCAACAGCCTCCCGAAGTTATGCAACCATATTTTGCATAGAATATACTTTTAGCCGTTAATTTTTGAGCATTAACTTCCAGTAAAGAAATCCTGTTAAATAATAAAAAAGCAGCAAGTTTATTTAATGATAAAATTATTTATTGCTTTTCAAATTTACGCGGTTTTTTGTGATTTATATAAATTTTGTTATACAAATATACATACGTATGTCTTAAATTATTTTATTTTTTGGCAACCTAATACTATCCAGCGTTAATTTTGCTTTGTATGTATATATATTCTCCCATCGAAGATGATGATGTCCTACACACATAGCTGAAGAAGCTATTTCATCTGAAATCATAAAAGAAATTTTAGAATACAATACACAGTAAGAGGGCATAGACTGTTTTGTATGGTATAGACTTATACTTACCTCTGACGACTCATGATGAATACTGCAGCTTGCATTTACCTTAATTTTAAGCTCAAAGCAAAAGAATATTATTATCAAATTATTTCATCTACGAAAATCATTTTATTTTTATCATTTTAATAGGATTCGCATTGTCCCACCTCCTTCGATTCGGTGCTTTGCTGGCCCCGCACCAAGGCGAGCAGCTGGGCTGTTCTGTCCTGCTTCGAGGAGTTCAAAGGAGTACACTACGATACAACAGGTGAGAAATGGCTGACTAACTATTCGGAACAGTATCTAAATAGCCTGGTCTCCCCGCTCATAGAGAATGCAACACGTTATTGCCACGCGAATGGCACGTGGAATCACTACTCCAATTACAGCAGGTGCCATCAGCAATCGGGCTCCGTGGCTGATGTTCCCGAGTTCTCAGCCAGCGTCGATCTGCCTGCCATTATCTATGCTGGTGGTTATTTTATAAGTTTTGCAACTTTGGTGGTGGCGCTTATAATATTCCTAGGCTTTAAGTGAGTTGTGGTGCCTGATCGAGCCACCATATAAAGCATTTCCTATTAATTTATCTTTGCTGCAGAGACTTGCGCTGTTTAAGAAACACAATCCATGCGAATCTATTTTTAACTTACATCACCTCGGCCCTGCTCTGGATCTTAACACTCTTCCTGCAAGTGGTTCGTAGACAGTGCTGAGAATCACAATAAATCAGAGTAACCACCTTAGAGGAATTCTCATACTTTCCAGATAACCACTGAATCTAGTCAGGCTGGCTGCATTACGCTGGTCATAATGTTCCAATACTTTTACCTGACGAATTTCTTCTGGATGTTTGTGGAAGGTGCGTTGACGTCTCTTTAAGTTTATCATGAGTTGGCTTAGCCATTATTATTTGCAGGTCTCTATTTGTATATTCTGGTAGTGCAGACGTTCTCCAGCGAGAATATAAGCTTTGTTATCTATGCACTGATTGGCTGGGGCTGTCCGGCTCTCTGTATTTTGGTGTGGTCTATTGCCAAGGCATTTGCATCGCATCTGGAGAACGATCATTTCAATGGTGTAAGGACGTCATAGATTTGTATGTTTCCCCTGCTGATAACTTATTTATGATAACTCATGTAGCTGGAAATTGAATGCACCTGGATGAGAGAATCTCACATTGATTGGATATTTAAGGGGCCCGCCTCAATGGCGATTCTCGTTAATTTGGTCTTTCTCATACGTATTATGTGGGTAAGTCTTCATTGTACCCATTTTATGGATTTAACATGAATCGGCACACTTTGTCTTATCTAAGGTACTCATCACCAAATTACGATCGACTCAAACATTCGAAACACGACAGTATTATAAGGCCTCCAAGGCTCTGCTGGTGCTAATACCCCTCTTTGGCATCACTTATCTACTGGTGTTAACTGGCCCCGAGCAGGGCATTAGTCGCAATCTCTTCGAGGCACTACGCGCCTTCCTACTCAGCACGCAGGTGAGAATGACATGCAATTCAAACGTAAATCTGTTGTCATTCTATGACTCGTTTCTCTCCTATAAGGGTTTCTTCGTGGCGCTATTCTATTGCTTTCTAAATTCGGAAGTGCGGCAGACGTTACGACATCGTTTTGTCATATGGCGGGAGAGTCGAAATATTCATCGCAGTAACTCCCGCAAGAATCGCAGGTGCGTTAACTGCTCGACCAGCTTTATAAATGGGTACAAAATGCACAAACGTTCATATAAGCATTCGATCACTATTTATCTGGGTTGTTGTTGTTGTTGTCCTTATCACATCTCATTGGAATTCATTTTTTTTCTGTTCTCCTTTTTTGCTGTGGCTCGCTGTTTTCGCTTAAAAAACTTAATTTCCATTTCAGACATCGCACATCCAAAGACTACTCGCAGCGCTCGCGTACTGAAAGTCTACGGTGCGTATACGCAATTCTCCCGCTTAACCTTGTAGTTGCATCTTACCCCTTACCGACTCGCCTCTTTCACGTTTCGCCTCAACTAACCCCTGCTAAGTGATGCATGAATAATTTATTTTTATACTCGTTCACGATTGGATGTTAGTTTTATAGTATGTCCGTCTGGGAATCCATCTATTTTCATCACAGTAAGATACAAATCTATATACACATTGTTACTGTGTACAGTTTTAAAACAAAATCTAAAAGTGTTGCAGGTGATTCACTTTTCACTTTTACAGAGAAACGCATAACTGATTTATAGTAAATTTAACTTTTTTTCTTTTTACTGTGAACGAGTGTATTTTAATATTTAACCTTGTCTATTTGTACTATTTTTAATCGATTTTAATTTATTTTTTTATTACCTTACACTTTTTATCATTTTTGTAGACTGACCTCGACAAGTCCTGTGCCCGCTGGACATTTAGAATGATACCTATGTATATACCGAACGCCATTGAGATTTCTTTTTAAATACCTACATATATTAGTGCTATATAAACATATATATTTGTATGTACATATAAAGAAAATATATTTGTATATAAGTATTGTATTGAGCAGACTATTAAAGTATTAACTTTTGTAAAGTATAGCGCACCGATTTATTTATTCAACTTCAAACTATATCAATTACATCAATCCCGATCTCTTACAGCACCGAGGAGTGTGTGATCTGCCTGAGACCTTCGCTTCACACTCGCATTGGATCATTGCATCGCTTTCAAAGCATAGACTTAACCGATTTTGTCTAAAATAAAAACTAACAAAATTTGCAAATTTATATCTGAAAAGAAATAATTTAATGAATTTCGTAATTCCATTTGCCAACCAAAAGATTCTTAATGTGAACAAAGATGTTGATTTGACGTTTTATATTTTGTTGAAAAAGTGACTTGAAGTTACAGCAAAATGTTAAGAACTAACGTATAATTGTTTAGTTTGCAAATTCTTTGTTAAGTACAAATTAAGCTTAAACATAATTTATTTGGATCAACTAAGATTAGATCAGATGAGTCTGCACAGTGTAGCAATTATTAACAAACATTTAGGGTCGGGTCAAGTAAAGATGTCGCCAAAAAGATGCCAAATGATGGGAATCGAGTCGTCCTCAATTAATTGTTGCATTGTGTTGCAGCTTTACTATAATTATCATAATTGTTATTAAAAATTAGCTATTAGTTTCCTAGTTTCTTCTTGTTTGTATTGTGTTCAATAACGTGCCAATGCATGCAAAAATTTGTTGTTACAATTATGATTACATATACTATATGTGTGTATATTAATCCTAGGCTTTTCCTCATTTATTTTTTAATTTTTATAATTTATAATTTTTGTGTGTTTTTTTTTTTTCTTTTGTCCGCTTCCTATTTATTTATTTTTCCATAAGGTCACATTGTTTGTATCACTGATAATGTAATTTAAAATAATCCTATGATGAAATGAAACATAAAACAATTTGCTGTCACATAATATCATGTATACGTATGTATGTGTGTGTACTAGTCATGTTCTTTTCTTCTTGCTGTTGTTCTTGCTTTTCATGTTTTGCGAATAAAGCTTTTAAAATATCAAAATTTATACTTCTTCATGAGATTAACGTTGTTGTCTAAGCTAAGAATGCCTTACTAAGTATTTACTGTATATACCTGTTGTGTGCATCTGAGTGTATGAAATCTACGAATTCCTTATATTTGTATATTAGCTAATTACTATCACTGTCTCACTTACCAAATACTTCCTAATCAATTGCCAAATCATTAAAAGAAACAAAAAACTGAAATGTGGGTCTTTACGTATGTCTGTGAGATACAGTGCTGGCAGCTACCTTTAGTTAAAACAGGAGAGATGGATACAAAAAGAGTCAACAATTTGTTTCCCTATCAATGGAATATTCTTACTATCGATTTCTCAAGAGTATGGATCCGTTCGATAAAGGCCAGATGACAGCACTGGCATGTGAGTATGTGTGTGCGTATGATTCGACAGAGTTTAACTGAAATGTAACTATATCGAAATTAAATTCGTGATTACGTATGGCTGTTGGAGCCAGAAACCACTTGGTCGTATAATGTCTTTGAAAAGAGTCGCCTCCTGAGCTTACTTCGCTTCCTAATGCATTGGATAAGTGGACGCTTAATATGTAATGTAATAATAAAAAATAACAATTACACTATCAACTAATTAACGCTCAGAGTGGGGGAGATGGGTGCACCTTTTCATTTACATAATATATCAAATGCACTCGCCGGGATTCTGCGCGCAGTACTTGGGAAACAGCGCCTCGGCTTTGATGCCCAACTCAACAAGACGATTTCTAAACACTGATATTCGTCGAAACACTTCTGGGGGCACAACATCGAAGTCATGATCATCATTAGGATCTGACCACAGACGTTCGGCCAAGGCAGCAACGCGCGGCCACAGTCGATTATCTAATTGACCCTCGTCCACTTGCTCGGTCCATAAGCAAGCCTCGCCACCCAGCACCTATTAAGGCAATCATTTGTTATCTACATTATTTGCAAATGGAACACAAGTCGTCTATAATACCTGCTTTCGGCGCTTCTTATCCAGACGCATTCGCTCCCAAGGCCGGTGCTTATAAACGTTTTGCCAAGTGCGATAAGGCGAACATGCGGCATCGCCAGTAGCTCGCCAGCTGCCAAAGCCGCAATCCAAATACCAAGCATCCACGTGCGAAAATATAATATTGTATCCATTGTCCAGCAGATCATAGTTCTCCTGCCAAGTGCTGCCACCCCACACCTGAACCACGAATTGACTGTTTGGAAGACACTTGGTGTTTGTCAGCGCACTCGACCAGACAACCACATGCTTGGGCGCAACATTTCCATTGGCCACTTTCAGTCTGTGTCGGATCAAAATCAAAATCAAAATGAACAATTAACATGCCTAAACGAGTTCCATGTGGCTCACCTCGCATTCGATTGTAGCATGAAGTCGCACCAGAGGCCGCGTAGATCCGTATCATTGAAATACTGGGCCCAGCAATCGAGATTCACCTCATCGCCGCCCAGGTGAAAGATGTCCGTGGGCCCCGTTAGCTGCAGAAACTCTTCGTACAGGCGCTGTAGTATGAGGTAGGTGTGGTTATTCTTCGGGTTTAGTTGACCGCACGGAGGTTCACCGCAATAAAAGCTCCATGGCTGCTGATTAATGCATAGCGACAATTCGCCAAGGCCCCGCTTGGGTCCCCAGTCCCAGCCGTTGCCCGCATGCGCAGGTGCATCGATTTCCAAGAGCACCTGCACGCCAAAAATTTTGGCATACTCGGTGACCTCGCGCACGTCCTGCTCGCTGTATGTTTCACTGTCCGAGTAGGCGCCGTGCTCAGCCAGCTCCGGATAATGTCGTGAAATATATGGAAAGCTCTGAGCATCCGTTATGTGCCAATGGAAGCGATTCAGCTTCGCCAAGCCCATTGCCGAAATGGTGCGTTTAATGGCATCCACGGAAAAGAAGTGCCGTGAGGTGTCCAGCATAAGGCCGCGATAGTGAAACTTGGGCGCATCATTGATCAAGGAGCTGGCATAGGTACACAGTAATCGCTCCTCATCGTCATACCAAATGAGCTGCTGCAGCGTGGCCAGTCCGTGACGTGCGCCAAAGAATGACTTGGCCCTGATGTGCACGGTCAAACGCCGATGCTCAACTGCCATTAGAGAGATAGAGACAAAGGGTTACAAAGGAGAACTAACAGTAAACGATTCTAATTATTAGATTTGCTTACAGCTTGTCGCTAGCTCATAGCTCTCATCATTGTCAAGATTGAAGTCGAGCTCGCCTGACTCATGCACCGAAAGCTTCACATGCAGACTATCCAGATCGCCAGACCGGTGTGAGCCAAAAGTGGAGCTAAAAAGTCCGCTAGCTAGCGGCGATTCAGCACCGTCTGTGGATTTCGAAGCTGGCTCGCTGACAGATGACATCTCCTCTGCACGCGGAGCTGCGTACTCCAGCTGCTGTATTTGCCGCAATTGCCTGACAAGCACATCAAAGGCCAACTTGAGGCGCTTGCGTACTTCGCGATGCGGCGTATCCAGCCGCAACTGTACATCCTCCACGGAGAAGCGCAGCGTGTGACCGCTGACTAGCGACTTGGAGGTGGGATGAGGCCAAATGTTAATATCTCCACAGGTCATTGAGCAGCTGATGAAGGAGACACGCTTCACGTTGGCTCCGTTCTTGTTATAATTAACGCGTACACATCTGTCATTGTCGCATTTATAGGTCCATGACTTTTCCAGCGGTCTAAGAAAAGAGAAGAAATTCGTTTAATTTAATTGTACCCATTGGAATAAGCTGAGATTGCTATACTTACATGGGAGCCGAACTGCGATCCTTTTGGAGGTGTGGACGCAGCTGTGCTTCATTGTAGGACTGTGTCTTAATCACGCCCTGATTCCAGTACAGCACTGTCAGAATGAAAATGGCTCCTGAGAGTAACAGCAGCAAGGCACGGCGTAGGGAGACGGCCAGTGACATCTTAAACAGATAACGTAAGCTATAAAACAGAAACGGAAGTATTTGCAATATATTTAGTAAACGCCAAATGACAATTCAATGTTAATCGGCAAAACAAGTTCTTGTCAATTGTACTCGACAGCAATTAAGTCCTTAAAAATAGAAAATATCCAACACCAGAACTTAATACTACATGTCATCCTTCTCATCATCGTTCAATCAAGAGCTCACACCACAAACAGGCCGCAGCAACAAATCAAGGATCATATTGAATTTTAATTAACGCCAGTAATTTGGCTGATGACACTAAACTAAACGGGGCTTAACAATCAATAAAATCAAAGGAAACCCCTTCTCAGTTTCACTCCCTCCTTGCGGGAGTAAACTTGTTAGCTTTGGCTTTTACGACACATAAAGCCCATGGGCAAATTGTTTGTCTTTCATATATAGCATCTGGCACGCAATGCATGGCAGCACCAGTACTCGCTTTCAGGTTCCAATTTACTTTTTGGCTTTACTGTTTGTGTGTGCCACATAATGGCGAATGAAAAACGGTTATAAAATATCCCAAACTGAGAAAATAGGTCTCGGCATATACATTTGGAGAGGTATAGTTACCCTGAACTAATGTGACTGAGCAGAAAATGCCATTTCTTTCGTTGCATGACCAAGAACGAATGCCGTAACAATGTTTGAGAAATGCAACTATATAGCACATTATCGTCTATACATTTATTGAAATACGAATGTGATGAAGTTTTAATCAGAGACAGCCTTTGGCAGTGGCAATGTGTTGGTTAGCTCCTATTTCGGATATTAAAACCAAATCTTAAGTACTATCTAACCTCTCAAATAATATTATATTGGTAGTCAAAACAGTTAAGAGTACAACATTATATAGCTACTAATACATACACATGTTGAGAAAATTAAGATGACCCATTTGTAACCAATTAAGAAGCTCTAATTTAGTAATTTAAATTCATTAACAGCCCACACCGATACATCCGCCCTTGTTTGTGTTTACAAATCAAGTCAATATTGTTGTTGAACGTATGGGTTAAAGTCTCCCAAAGAGAAACACCAAACAATTTAGACCACACGGCCATGTTTAATAGCAGGACCTTCGAGGCTTCACGTCTGCTGATTAATGACTAATGACTAATGTCGCTGACACACTGAGCGTATTGTGCGCAATTGCTGGACTCTCCCCACATCAGGCTGGACACGCCCTTTCGTGCATGTTCAGCGGGGCTACTAACTGAAATATTAGTTGAATTACTGCTACATGCAGCGTGCTAGTGTAAATACATAAATATGATATGGTATGGCTGGTCAATGAAAGAGACTCCTGCCCACGTGCCACAGAGCTTAAAGTTTCTGTGTAGCCTCTCAATTGCGAGTGTCAAACACTCACAGGTAGGGAAAACGTGCTACTGCACATGGAAGCACGTGGAGTACGGAGCGTGGAGTGTGACGAGTGTGTTAAATTCATAAAGAAACAAATGCACCTTTTTGGGGGCATCGTCGGCATTACGTCTGATGGCCTGTGCATAATAAATCAAGAGGCATGCATCGTTAATGCATAAGAAAGAAGAAAGGCAATCGGTAGCTGCCTCATTAGCAGTCGCCAGTGCTGCTGATTTAGCCATTTTCTGAGAGGATCTCAGCCTTTGTTAACTGCTGCAGCCTAGCTTGAATGGGGGCAGGGATACGGAGCTGTCGCTCAAAGCCTACTTGTAGCCCAATTCTAAAGGCACGAAAGCGCACCATACAATCGAGCACAGCTAGCTGCGACTCGTGCTTGGGTCACCTGCTTACCTGCAGCGCGTGCGCAGTGATGAGCTTAGTGAGTAAAAGCGCCGAAAACTATCCATCATCAAAAAATGCTGGCGCTAATGGAGACGCGCCTCATCTGTGGCTGCGACGCACAGACGAATCGCCTGTTGAAGGGCTCCTCGACAGTTACAGCGACAACTACAACAGCAGCAGCTGCTGCTGCTTATGTTATATTATTATGTGCTAGCTCTTTCAGCACAGATCTATATTTAAACGGTCTTATATGGCGCACAGAACTAAACAGAGAATGCGACACCTTCGCGCTATTCACGGCCGACAACGGCGCCCTCCTAGTGGACGTGCGACTGTCGAGGTGTAGGTAACTGCGACTGAGCGCGACTCTGAACGGATTTTTAGCTCTTCAAGTTTTTACTGGATGGGCTGGTGGGCCTAGCTTAGCGCTGGTCCCAAAAATGGCGTGCATATATATAGTATTTACATATGTTCTTGAACCACCTGCCAGCTGCTGGACGCATTTACAGTGGCGGGCAACAATATTGAGAGCGACCTCTGAGACATGCACCCGACTTGATCCAAACTCATATAGTAAATTGTATTCAAATAAACTAACAAAATTGACACACTTTGTATTACAAATATTATCCATACGCCCGGTTGACCCCATGCCAATACTAATGGGCAGTATATAAGCTGTTGCATGATACATTGTTGTTCTTTGTACAGAATACTTCATGTAAAATTGTTTAATAGCAAATAGAAGCTGTTAATTCGCATGAGTAATAGTTTGTTATTGCAAATATTACGCATACGCACCATACTCAATATGCAGCGCACCGACTGTTGCTTAGAGTCGCGTTATTATTTATGGTCGCATGCCGTGAAAAACGACAGTTGGCGACAAGTGTTGTGCAAATGGCATGCACGGTTGCCACAACAACAAAAACATCAACAACAACAGTAACAGCAACAGCATTAGCAGCAGCAACAACAATCGCACACACAACAAAAGCAGTTGGCGCTCAATTTGATGTGAAACGTGCAGGAACCACACACAGACATACACACCCACACACACACATATATATACTTGTATATAATAGACGAAGGCACACACAAAGAGGAAGCTCAATACGAATAACTGTGTTTTTGGCCTCCATTATTACCGTTGAAAAGGGAAAGGCAGCCTGCAAAGCAACAGCAAAATGGCGGCACGAATTGTAACAGGCGCGCAGTGTCAGCAGCAGCAGCAGAAATAACGGCATAAACGAAGTCGTTGCTGCTGCTGCTAGCCGAAGGCAAGCCAGCCGAAGCTGCTTCGTACTCGGTTGCCTAACAACTTCGTCGTGGCGCACAACAGAAGGAAGGATAAGCCAAGTCAGCCTGGCCACGCAGCCAACCAGCCAAGCAGCCAGCCTGCCTGCCTGCCTGGCTGCCAGCTAGTCAGCAAGTCAAGCCGGGACTCAGTTGCAACAGCGCAACGCATTTGCTAAGACGCACACAGAGCGCGCCGCGGCGCAGCTCGCACGGAACACGAATAATCAGCGAGTATAGAAATAGTAACACTTGTACAAATTGTTTTTGTTGGTGTTATTGTTGCTGGCAGGTGGCCTGGCTACCTTGGCCATCGATCGCACCTTTCTAGTGCGCGCTACCTCGCGTTTGTTCGCGTGCCGGGCTGACGTACATAACGTATACGAGGATAACACTTAGTAGGCAGGGCCGTTGTCCTTGGTATTTCAGTCTAGCGCTTGCAGCGTCAGGCAACGGTACTACTTGCGTGTGCCACAATTAAGAGGACTGCACAGGTGTGTTGAGTCTGTCACGGTGTGTGTGTGTGCGTGTCAATGTGTGTTGGTGAATTTGTGCTATGGGCATTCTAATACGCGCCTTGGCTAATTGTTATGCAATCGTCTCTAGCCTTAAGACCTAGTGAGAAATGTCTTTGAAGCGTTATGCAATAATCGCGGCGGTCAGTCAGTACCAGCAACAACAGCAGCTGTACCAGCAACTGCAACTGCAACAACAGCTAAACACTGCAACAGTCATGTTAGCATCAACAGCAACGACAACGACAGAGCCAGCGAGAGGAGAATCAACAATAACTACAACATCTTTGCCCACGAGCGAGGAGGAGGAGGTGCTGCACTCGCAGGAGCTCGCCAGCAGCTCCTCGATAACGACGTACTACAATGGCGGCATGGGTCTCTATAATCAACAGCGCGGCATTGGAGCTGGCATATCGCTGCTCAACGGCGCCGCCGGCTCTGGGAGCGGAAGCAGCTCGGGCGGAGGCTCACAGAGCTACGCTCACGTTGTCAATGGCAGCGTGAATCTCCTGCTTGGCGGGTGAGTGGGGTAGCGACAGTCAATGGCAATGCCAATGCTGCATTATTCACATCAAGTTATTCATCTATGGCACAGTTTGCTATGCCAGCCTGACAGCCTCATTTCAACATTAATTAATAAAACGCCGAAGCCACGACTTTAAACAGGATCATGTTCGATAGGGATGGGAGAATGTGCTACCGAGTTGAGTCACAGTAAGAATATTTAGAGCAGGAGGGGATGACAGGGCTTAGCTGAATACATGTTCTCTTAAATGAAATGAAATGGCTTTTTGTAATATTTTTAATTGTTCATTATGCAAAACATTCTCTGTATATGAATACTTCATCATCTCTCAGCTACAACTCCAGCTCCATAGATCATATAGAAAATGGTTATCCTTATGATTTATGCGGCGTCTGCAAATTAATAACATAAAAAAATTCACGCAGCTCTGCGGAGCATCCTCAAGACATTGCGAGGGCAGCTTCTCCCTTCCCACTCCACGCTGGGCACTGACAAAGTAATCATATTCATAATTGGTCCCCTTTTCGTTGCCAAGGAGTGACGTCCGCTTATTTAAATTAATATATCCCTTCTCTTCTTTCTTCTCTTGTAACACTAACTCAGATCGGCGGGAGGCCGGATGGAGTAGGTTGAGTAAAAATAAATGCTAAAGCGACAACAGCAAACTTTTGATGTCTGCAAACGGCGTGCGCTCCGATGACCGTAACTTTATTTTAACTACTTTTTTATACACTTTTATCCTCGGTCACGAGGAAAGTAGAGCATATTAGTTTTATACCGTGTTTGCGGTCAAACCCACAAATTTGGAAAGGGGCGTTGTTAGACTTTTATATACTAGATTTGTGTTGTAGGTTAAGATCTAGAACCGACAAGCTTCACAGATGGATCAATGCTGATCTCATATATAAATTATCCTGATAAATTCTATGATTCGCGCGGACCTCGAGAGAGTATTCTGCAGTCGGTGGAGCTTGACTTTGACGTTTACTTACTTATCGATTGTTTGGGAGCATGTCAATAAAATTTAACAGAAATAAAAGCTACACATGCCGATGATAGTTTTAGCTGCTCCTCCCCCTCCTCCTTCTCCTCCTCTAACACTATCGAACGCTTTTTGGGGCCTTTAATGAACGGTTGACATGCGAGGAATTGCGTGAGGCGCAGCGTAAAATGAGCAAAGACTGAGAGAAAGAAGGAACGAAAGTAAGAGGGGAAAGGTAGCACAAGCATGTCAGAGGACAAAGGGTATTATATTGTGTTTAAAGTGGATTAAGTGACATCATTGATTTGTGTAATGTGTAACAGATTTCAGAGACAGATTAACGAGGTTACTGTGCTGCAGAACTTGTCGCTATCTAGGTTGCACAGGGGACTTCAAGAATGCTTCGATAACAAGAAAACCTTTTCTAGCAATACCTATGTAAACGTATTCACATCAGTCACATATATACAATACAGGTACGTAGTGCCTCTTGCTTGCTTGCTATTTGTGGCCAGATGGCATAATTCAACGCGTGAACAATGTGTTGAATAACATTTTGTTTTTGGCAATTATTTAATCTATTTGTAAGCCAATATTGTCGAAATGCCTTCGGGGCGAACATACAAGCGCACAAAATGCTGTAATTCACAATCGATATATGGTTAGTTGTTCGGCAGTCCGCATTAACAAAAGCCACAGCGAATGGCCGCTCATTGTACTCGGGAATACAATACGCACATACACATCGAAATGTATGTATGTACATACATATAATACATGGTTGTTAGCAAGGCATTGTCGACCAAGTTTACGGCTAACATATTCATTTTGGGTAGATCTTGCTCTATTCCTTACAATGGTTCAAGTCCCTATATTTGACTTAACACTGTCAAATGTTTATCTTTTTTTACGTGTGAAATTATTGTTGCTTGCCTTCTATATTTTTTGTAGGTCTATGCTCTGCCTGGTGACGACAATTTTGTGTGTCGTCTGTTATTGTTGCCATCGCAATATTAAAAAACGCACAGAGGCCGCCTACAGGCAGCAGCAACATCAGTGGCTGGAAAACGATCCCAATATGGAAATATACAGCGTTGAACAGGTAATAATATATATGTATATCAATCAAGCGTTAACTAATATAGGTTGGATACTTATAAATGGAACCATTCCCAACATTAATCATACACACAAGAATAGGATGGACACTTAATATATGTATTCTTTCCCTCTCTCTCTCTTTCTCTCTCTCTCTCAGGAGTCGTTTATATATAAACAAACATTTCACCAATGAATAAAAAGGGAGTTAGGAAGACAGATAGAGAGAGAAAACGTTTACTCTAAGCGCTCTTGTATGATACGTGATTTTTCCTAATTTCTCAATTGATTAAGCAACAGCAACTAGGAACTAAACAATTTAAATTCGATTCTTTAGTCTTAGCCGCCATACTCGACTCTCATCGAGGACGTTGGTAATGAATATTAATGCGAAGCATTTAACAGACGCTACAAGGACGGAAAAAAAGCAGAGGGAAATAAATAAATAACAACCAAAGGCCAAGTTGAAATAGACATTCGGATCCACTTTGCGGTGTAGTAAACTCTTAATAAGCCCCTGTGCAGGCTTTTTTTTTTAGCCGGTCTCAGTGCTTTGATTATTGTTGTTTGTTGGCCCTGTGGGAAAAGGCGCTGGCTGCATCGTCGGCAGTAGAGCGTAAATCAACGTTAGTCCGGTTCATGTCACACAGAGTTGTCAACGGGTGTAAGCGGATGCAGCCCTGGACTGGACCTTCCAGTCATACAAATCCGTTTATAATGTGTGCAATTTCAACTTATTTATTTGAGCCTTGCGCTTGTTAATAAGTCTCTCCTTCTTCTTCTGTTTAAGTGCTATGAAACATCGGGACTGTTCTTGGGCGACTCAACGGATGGTTTGGCCACGCTGCCAGCTTTGCACCATGAGCCGCCGCCGTCGTACGACGCGGTCGTCCTACACGAACAGCAACTGTTGCAGCAGCAGCAGCAACAGCTCGAGGAGCAGCAGCTCCAACTGCAGCAACAGCAACTGATGTTGCAGCGCGTATCGCCGCCGCCCGGCTACCGCTCCACCTTGGACATAAGCAGCGCGCAGCAAGGAATTGAAATATCAAACACCGATGTAATGGCGGGCAGCAGCAGCAGCAGCTGCAGCAACAGCAATGCAGCAGCTGCTGGAGCAGGACCAATGGCTAATAAGCAGCTGCAGCGCACCTTGAATGCTCAGTCCTGTTGCTCGCTGCAGCGCGCCGAGGTGGAGAACATGTGGAACGCAGCCGCGGCGGCCGTTGCAGCTCGCAGTGGACACTGCCAGGAGCTGGACACATATGTGCCCATGCCCATGTCGATGGACCTGTCGTCATCATCGCCGCCTTTGCCACTGGCTCTACAGGCGCGCAAGCATGCTCAGGCGGCCATGCGGCTCAACAGCTTTGGGCGGCGCTATTTGCAGTACAGTCAGCATCAGCATCACCAGCAACAGCAGCACAACCACTACAGACGCGGCTGTCCACTGTGCGGGAAATTCCGCTACGCGGCTGAGGACGAGGCGTTGACGGCATCTGTCGAAAGTGTCCTGGAACAGTGTGATGCCAATGAGAATGAGGCAAGTGCTCAACACCAGCAACAGCAGCAGCCGGAGCAACAACAGCAGCAATACCACCAACAACAGCAGCAGCAACCCGCCATCGAAAATCCCAATCAAATTGATGCTGATGCGGCGAATGGAAATGTGGTGGACAGCACAACTGAAGCTGCATCAGCAACTGTTGCTGACATAGACATGGGCATAGACGAAAATGACAATGCAGCTGCGACGTCAGCAACAGCAGCACCAGCAGCGACATCTTCAACAGCTGAAGCTGACGCTGAAGCAGATGCTGCTGACCTGGATATCAACAACATGAATGAGAATGGCATCATCAGCCTGGACATGAGCAAAATCATTGATATATCGGGCCTGCCCACCTACGAGGGCGCTCTGAAGCTCGAATCCAGTGGCTATGTGTAAACAGTTCCCAGTTCCCGGTTCCCACAGTCAAGTTTACATTACGCAATAACCAAATGATATCACACATGTGCTTTATTTTATAAGATAATATGGAGCAGATGCCCAGAACACGTTTAGCTGTATTTAGTGAATTTTTCAATTTGTCATAGCAACAATCCTAACGAACTGTTCTGAGGTTCTCCTTAGTTTCAATCATGATCTCGAAATGCGCGACTTTAGTATCTGTCCCAAAAACCGAAAAGGTTCCTCTTTAAAACACACACATACATACTAATACATTAATATTAATATACACAGGAATGTATTTTTAATTCTAGACATTAGCCTTAAGCAAACATATCCAAGCAGCAAACGGTTGCAGAAATATCAATAAAAATGTACTTGAACGAATTTAGCCCAATCGAACCTTTTGACAGAGCCTTAACCGCAATACTCTTGTTTTCACGCCCATCAAGTTTAATCTGATTGATTTCGCATTAAATATAACGAATGAGTAGACCAAGAGTGACATAACGCCTAACAAGCAAGAGGCCAGGGCATTACGGTTAACCGTGAAGTGAAAAGCACCCCCTACGTCAAAATACCTGTGCAGGTAGTTCTGTTTTGGATAAGGGGCATAGACGACAGTGCTGCCAATATAGCCTTTTTACAATTATGATTTTTACCTCGTTCAACACAATTGGAAGTCTAATAGGTTTCATATAAATATTAATATATCCAATTAGCATGAATCTCAAAAAAAAACAAATATCGTGTAAACGACAGCACAGCGATTATATTGACTCTGTGCAATTTCTACCTTGCTGTTTGCTGGGCTCTATAAAAAATGACAGCGAATGAGTGTCATGGAGTCAGTAGTACCCGATTGCTACGTTCTTACTTGTTTTAAGTGCCTTTTGTCTCATTTTTCTGTCCTGTTTTTACGATAGGCAGTTGCCAGCACTGGCACACCAACACACACACACCCCACACCCTCAGACACATGTTTACGCTTTACCTCGTTTTGTTTGGCTCTTGGGGGTAATAAAGAAAAAGATGGCCGCAAGCAAATCGCACGTAATGTGAAGCCAAGGCTCAAATGTCGACCTCGGAGAAAAGTCAGCCTATCTGTGCTCTAAAATTGATAACAAGCCACAGTTAGTCACTCACTATAGTTATTACTATCGTTAGTATTATTAGCAGTATTTTTGACCAAATAAATTTGTTGCCCAGTTGCCGACGGTAAGGGGCTCAGCCTGATATATTGTCAGTAAAAACAGTGGCCGTGTAATCCAGCGTGTCACAAATGCAACTAGAGACTAAAGGTAAAAAGAGACTCCAGTTCTGGAATTCAATTTCACTTATCAGAATCACAAGTAGATAGAGTAAAGTATTTTCGTACTTGTTTTGCTCATTACGCACGCGGAACACTAAAAATAGTTTCAACCCAGACAGGCAGCGCCTCCACACACAGACGCGTATCTCCGTCTATATGGGCCAGTCAATGTGCAGTATGGCTTATGATCTCATGACCCAATAATGAACAATGCTTCTTCTACCTCGGAAGGGGATTATAGCCGGCTTACATGGCATACAATTGGCGTGTATGCGTGGCCCAATTGGCAAATAGCAAATGGCAAATGGCAAACGCTTTGAGCAATTGCTCTTTAATTTTGTGTCTCCTATTGTCGAAATTTTAATTTTATTTACGAAGACCTTCCTTCTCGCACATACCGTCGGAGCAGCAGCATTTTGATCAGTGAATACACTTAAGAGCTACATGAACGAATTCTTTGTTTCCATGCTGATGGCGTGCACGAAATATTAAATTATTTGTATTTATATATTTTTATCCCGAACGATGAAACTTGTTGAAAATTCACACACAACATTCAGTTGGGACCCGCGTGGCTTATAATTGCAACTGAGAATGATGCGTTGCCTCGTTGTGGCACAACAAGTGAGGCATCCAAAGAGCTAGTCACCGCTATTCAAATACAGACTACATCAGAGCGAGAGAGAAAAGAGCAAGAGAGAGAGAGAGAGAGAGAGAGAGAGCGGGAACTGTGCTAAAAACGTGAGCTAGACAAAATAGAAAAATGTTGAGCCGTGTGACGCCATGAGACGCTGCCCTGTTGGGAGAAGAAGAGAGAGTGGGAAGGCAGAGGCAGAGGGAGAGGGAGAGGAAGACAGAGCAGGCGCCGAGGGGTAGCCACAACTAATTGCGCAGCGGCATCGACATCGACATCGACAGGCATTTGACCCTTTGTCGTTGGGGTTGACTCTGCATTATTGTAGCCGAGGAGTGCAGAGGTGGCGCTTCCATTTATTAATAAGAATTAACTGGCGAACGTATGTAGTTGCATCCTTTGCCGCAGTCTAATTTGAATTTTTTTATTGCACTCAATTTTTGTATTCTAAAATCTTATGAGCTAAAAAATATTAATGTTCACTTGGGAGTCTGTACGTGCGCATATATGTGTGCTTGAGACTCATCATACCCAACACCCCAATGGGTCCTGAGAGTGAAAACGGCACGTGCTTAAAAATAGCCAGTGGGGTTTCATGGGAGCAAAGCAATGCGACAAATTAAGTGAGCAACTGAGTGAAAAAAAGAAAAGAGAGAACAACGTGTGCTTAACTTGGACGAAATATAGACACCCTTACAATCATAGGTGTTCCCATTTCAGTACGACACTTACAAGAGAAATACGATCCACAGATCAATATTCTATTAATAAACGAAACGCATACGTAATTGAAGGACATAATTCGAGGAATCAGATATGTTTAACTAAAAGTCCTATAGTGTATATCGACATTTCGATGTGATATATGAGAGTGAGCTGATAAATTTTAGAATGACAACATTCACATTTGTCAGTGTCATACGATTGTTTCAGTGCATTCAAGACTGATAATTAGAAGAGCTGAGCGAAATATAAGAGCTTAATATAGTACATTTATAGTATATACATACACACATACATATATGTATATTAATAACTTGGCGCTGTGGATATACGAGGTTCGTCTGAAAAGTATTCGACATTTTCGAGTAACCAACGGGAGCATGTTATCTGAAAAGATGGAAGTCGAAAACCTCTAAAAGAATCCGACAGCTCAACAACAGAAGATAAACAAGTGCGATATGTTTGTATTTCATTATATTATTATGAATATAATAATATATATTCAGCTACATCTGTGTGTATAGGAGCTAACGACAAGTAAAGCTTTTGGTGACGCAAGTGCGCGAGCAAACAGCAAACAGCAAACGACAAGCAACATATAACAAAAACAAAAACGAAAGCAAATTTCAAATTGCTGAAAGAGCTGGGACTAGAGTTAGGCGAGAAAGGCGTAAACAGTTTGCAGACAGACAAAGTTACAGCATTATTCATACTGACCCACAGCTCAATTTGGAATGCTTTTCTCATGTCCTGATTTTGGTCTGTGGCACCAATGAGCCGCAATCTCCAAGTCGTGTTTTCTGTTTTTATGGCTGGCTGCAGGCGATAAAGGCAGCGCGACAGGTTAAGAGTGCGACGGCAGATGATTGGAGGTGGCTTCACTCACGGCGATTGGGAACGTTTCCTCTTTGTTGGTGGTTTTGTGCGTTTACGTGAGGCTGCCACTGCATTTCATATTTCACATTCACATTTTAGTTAATTCTAATTTGTTATTTACACAAATTTCGCAGTCGTCTGCGCTGAGCTCGATTTACTAGCACTAACAGTTTTACTTTCAACTGTGGGCACTCTAAAATTTGTGTCGTTGTCGTTGTGTAGAAATATCGACGAGCTGCAGCACACACAACTATCGATTACAGTCGATTAATACCGTTGCAGTTACTTTGTTTTCAATTAAATGAACGCTATAGCCTCTCCACCGTAAAATAATATTTGCATTTTTCGAGCGTCTATTCAAAGTGTATTTGACTGCTTATCGACTGGTGGAGTTTCAGTTAACAATTTTGTACAATATGATACTCATTGGTTTACGGTTCAATGAGATTAACAAGTGCAAGCAGACGCTTAATATATAAATCAAATTCTAAATAGTTATGTACAATATAAATCCTTGGCTTAGAGGTTAGTTATTTAAATAGTTTCCCATGTAGGAAAGGTCCTCATCTTGTCCACTGTCACTCTGACGCACAGCCATTGCAGTTTCCACAAGATAATACAGGCATTTGTATTTATCGCGCTCCTCGCGACTTAAAGCTGCAAATAATACCCATTGACATGATGATCTTGGGGTAATTGCAATGGCAACGTACCTGGACGTGGAGGTGTATGCGGTTGTGTGTTCTCATTCTCAGTGATTGAGACAGTTTCCTCTGGTTCTGGAACACACGAAATGCCGTCATCATCCGCATTCGAGCTCGTCACAATTGTGGCCTCGGCGCCTAGCATATGATCCAGCAAATGCTGATTGCCTACAATTGAAGTTGAAGCTGAAGTCAGATAAGTTTGGTGAACCATTGAGTCGACATGCTGACATACCCCCACTCTTGACCACCTGCGTGGACACTGAATCACAGCTGACTGCATTGCTGCTGACGGGATTTGTCTTGGTGGTGGTCACTTCCTCGGTGCTGAAAACGGTCCTGCATAGCATTAAGAGCATTAAGGGAGTGGGTAGAGAGCAATACTCTTTGCTACAGCGCCGAGATGTACTTACTTAATGACACTCTGCCAGTCATCGGATGTTTCGAAGCGGACTTCTTCCTCGCTGACCTGCTCGCATGACTCGTAGTCGTGTCCACTCTCCTCGCCTTCAGATCTGCGAATGAGAACGTGCACATTAGAGCCGACCGCCTACAGCTAAGCCCTAATAGAAGCTTATAAGTTAAAACTAATGCATGAAGCTACCTAAGCGCCGCCACAAAACCACCAGAACAATCATCCTGTTTAGCAAACACTTCTGCTTTGGAAAGATACACCGATTTCTGTTTCTCTTGCGCTTCGCCTTGCCCTTGACCGTGGATCGTGTCCTGCTTAAGAAGTTTGTCTGGTGGCAGAGTATCGTTGGTCTTGCTCAACTCGTTCTGACGCTTGCGTCCTCGCTTCCTCGCTGGCTTGTCCTCGTCGAATTCTGTTGACAGCTGCCCATAAGGACTATACGATACCATGGAATTGTTAGCGCTGTAGGTGCTGCTGCTGCTCTCACTACTGCTTCCGCTGCTCGTAATACTGGCGGTGCTACCATCATTCAGGGCCGCCTTGCGCTGTTGGTAGCTCTGTATCTTATCGATTATGGTAGCTTGCAACGAGGAGTGCAGCCTCTGAAAGCCCAGCGGATTGTTTGCAATTGCTTGTTGCCAACTTGTGTTTGGGGAGCAAGTAGGTCAATTGTGTGGACTCAATGCAATCAAATAGGCTACGGGACAATCTACTAGAGCAAGCTGAGCTTTACCTGTATATCACGCTCTCGTCGAACTCTGGCTCCATTTTGACCATCTGGCCGTTGGGCGTGCGCACATATTGATCAAAGTTGGTGAGAACATTGGCTATGCCCTCGTGCATCTCAGCGGCGCTGTTCACCTCCTCCGTAGCGCCAACAACCTGCATGGGCGAGACAAATAAGAGATGATATAAAAAACACTCAGATTACATGGAGAGCTTACAACTTCTGAGGCCGGACTGCCTGTAATTGGATTCGGCGTGCAGTGGACATTTGAGCCGCCAATCGAGCCTGAAGAGCTGGGGCTTATTTTCTTGCCCCGACGGGAGATAGTGAAATGCAGAGGATCGTTGCCCTCGCGGCGAATCATCTCGGGCAGAATACGCCGGCGCGCATTGATGAACCAATTGCAGACCTGCAGCACAGTTAAATTGGCCTCTTGCGCCAAGGCAAACTTCTCGGCATCGCTGGGATACGCATTGTACCGATGCTCGTAAAGCCAGCGTTTCAAGATCTTGACGGAGTGCTTTGGCAGGTTGCCGCGACGCTTGCGCAGCGAGCCGTTGACATCGATGTGCGTTTCCACGAGCATGTCGTGAAAGTTTTGTATTTCCTGCACGGCCTGCTCAGAATCTTGATCCTCCTCAACAATCTCATCGGCCGAAAGATTGCCTAGTCCGCCCATGGCGTCCGCATGCATATGGTCCTGATCGATGCTGGATTCAGAGTTGTATCGTTCACGTGCCGAAACGCCTAAATTGAATTGCGTTAATGCTGATTCACATAGAGTTTGAGGCATATGTTAAGACTGACCTTCGCTTTCCAATAGGTTGGCCTGTACATCCGCTTCGTGCATCATGTCCTGTATATTCCGGCGCACTTGCCTATCCAAAACCAAATCAACTTCATGTTGCTCCGGGGAGATCATCATGATATACACATAAAGCAAGCAAAAAACACCAACTAACAAGCAACAATAAAAAGGGAGTACAAATCCAGAATGACTTGCAGCTCCTTTAAAATAGTTTTTTTTTTTTTTTACACAAAAAAAAATTATGGGTAATAAATATATCCACTATATATATTTTCAGTTTCCGTATTTTTATGTTCACAGCACCAGCTTTGAAATTAGACTAACTTTGACTAGACGACATTTTCTAGCTGCCACAAATTTATCATGGCCTACTGCATAATTATTCATTTTGAAATTTCTCGCCTTCAAAATTTTTTGTTATCGAAACGTATCGTTCACCTATCGACAGCACCTCGTATAAGACTTCTTCGAAGACGTGACAGTATAACATGTCAAATTGACATTGCGAAGCAGGATTTTTGACAAATCGCTTAATACGCGCGCATAATTCACATAGCGTAAACACTATAACCGCCACTTGATTTATTAGTTTATGTTGAAGTTTAAATGCTTTATTTGGATGGCTTCTAACCTCCCTGAGCCAGCTACGCTTGAGTTGCCTGCAGGGCAAAATTAGCTGTATTCGTTATATTTGCGGTTGTTGAGCTAAACTTTTGTTCACTTGTCGCAGTTGCGAGTAACGACACCTCTGCATTATCTTTATATCTACACGAACTTAGTCACTACAGCTTAGAGTATATTAAAATAGCAATGTTTTGTTTTGCTGCTTTTTTAATTATGTATTTTTTGCGACTCAATATGTACACACTGTCAGTAGCATCAATTTACACACGCAGCCAACTTCATGTGAGACTAAAATGTGCGCGCAGCTAACTTCACGGCAGTCAAAACGTAAATAAAGAATGGTAAACAATGGAGGACAGCGGCGACAAAGTTTCGGTTTTAGATGAAGAGCTTTTGTCAAACATAAAAAATAGTACAGATAAGACCGACAATAATGGCCAGCAAATGGATGTGGAGAATCTGGAAATAGAGCTAAAGACTCCAGTCGAGAATCACGCGGATAGTCATGCCGATCCGCTTCAGGAAACCACTTCTTTGACATCAAATTTTGCTTGGCTCTTTAATGATGAAGAAATTCTGCTTAATGATGATGAACAATTGCCCGATGTGGTTCTGCTGAATCCAGGGAAATGCCGTGCCAAGCGTGGACGGCCGCCAAACACTAACAATATCTTTTATTCGAGTAATGGTCATGTTTGGCATTTGGATATGCAGGCTCCTCTTCAAGAAGAATTGATGGTGCCCAAGCAGCTGGCGTGTGGCAAAGGTCCTGCAAGGCTAGTTACCAATGCTGTAGAGTCCTGGATGCTGTTGTTCGACGATGAGATGCTGCACATGCTCCTACGCTTGCTCAACGAACGGATACGCCAGCAGCGCTCGCGAAATCCTGCGGAGCGCTTTGCAGATCTCACAGAGCTCCGTTCTTGGCTAGGCTTGAGTTATTTGTGTGGCGTCTTTCGAAATGCACAATATAATGGACCACTGGGTTAGCAATTAGCACATATATAATATATGCTTACCTTCTATATACCAATTCTTTCAATAGAGGAGCTGTGGACGTTGGAGTTGGGAAATGCAATCTTTCGTGCCACAATGTCACTGACGCGCTTTGAGTTCATTGCGAACTGCCTCACCTTCCAGGGCGAAAGCAGCTGGAATGATGCACTGCGTCTTTGGCAAAAGCTGCTCATTAACTGTCGCTCCTATTACGGACCCAGCGGCTGGCTTTGTCTGGATGAACACGCTCACTCGGAGAATTTATTTCTGAGCGTATGCTGCGATGCTAAGACGCTCTTCATGACTAATGCAATAGTTAATAAAAGGGAAACGAAGCCCAGCAAGGAGCTGATGCAGCTGATCTGTGACTATAAGACGACAGGTCGTAATATTACTCTGGGCACGCGCTATGCCAGCGTCAGCCAATGCGAGCAATTGTTGGAGTTTAATTTGAGCAGCCTTTGTACCCTGCCGTCCTGCTCATTGGACTATCCCAAAGCCTGGTCGGGTGGATCGCTGTCAAATGGCGCTATGAAACTCACTCACAGATCGGGCGTCGCGCTTCTCACCTGTGGCTTGAATAGTCAAGTGAATGCCATGCAAGCACATCTGCACACTTCCGACAGTTGTATTAATTTCCATGAACTCTCTAATAGATACAGTACCTCATTTTCGCTGCCGGCTCGAACTAAGCCAGATGTGTTCCTGCAGCTGCTGCACTTGATGCTCAATGTGTCGGCTGTTAATGCGTGGATATTGCTGCGGCTGGCGCCAACCGGCGATGCTAGCATAGATCAACGCGATTTTCAACGCCAGCTCGGACTCTTTTTAACCCAGCAGCGATTACAGCGTCGCCTGCATCGGCGATCGGCGGCCACAAGTCTTGCAATGCGCTTGCAAATCTGTGAAATATTGGGCCAATCCAGCCAGCGGCTGCTAAGCGAAGCCGCCAATGAAGCCAAGCAATCGAATGGAGTGGGGGTCATTAGCTTGTCGCGCTCCACTCTACCGGAGGGAGTAGTCCTGGTCAGTCGCTATGGAGACAAGCATCGACGCTGTAAGCCTTGCGCTCGCAACAAGCGTGAAATCAAAGCGAGATCGCGTTGCCAACAGTGCCAGGCTCATCGCTGTGGAAATCATCTAATCTCACGGTGCTACGAGTGCATGGGCCTGAACACATCTCAACTGCCCGAGGGCAACCTGGGAGACTCTTAAAAATCAACATTAGATGACAGAAGCATTGGACAAACAGCTAAAAGCTGCACTATATATTAATAATGATTGACGAGATAAATAACATTTATTCAAGTGCATATTGCTATATAATGTGTGCAACAGCCTGACCTCTGCTGTTGCTTCATTTTGTGCTCTATAATTACAAACCACGGATGCAACAAAGTGGGAAATACGATTGCCTCTAAAATTTGTACTGGAACGATTTCGTCTTGTACTTGTTGCCCGTCGTACGACTGCCTGCGGCTGTGTCAAACGGTTCGCTCTGATCAAGGAACAGACTGAGGAACTGCTCGTTTTGTAGCTCGTTCAATGGCATCTCGAGTTCGCTACAGGATTTCACGATTTCGGCGCAGGCACGCAGATCCTTGCGCAAGTCTGTAAAGTGAAAGCATGTTGAATTTGTATTATTAGCATCAAGTAAATCAGAGCATCAGCACATACATTGGTAGTTGAAGAGCAGGCTGAGGCAATTGGCGCACGCACTACGCTGATTGTGTTGCAAGAATACCTCAATTAGACGGTGCACGGCGTCCACGTTGTGTCGGCTAAGGAATGAGGAGCATAGCGGACTGGCTCTGAAAGTGAAAAATTTGTAAAATGAGGAAGTTGCATTATCATTCGTAGCCGGGTGCGCACCTGCGATCCACCAGTTGCTGCAGCTCCTTGTAGTGTTCGAACAACTCGCCCGCTGATTTCTGATTGCTAAACCAATCACTGGCGAAACACTGTTTCCACACACAGGCCACAACGAAGATGTCCTTGTGCTCGCGGTGTATGGCCCGAGCGACCTCCATTAGGGAGACGAGAACGGCTTCGCTCTTTTGTGCCAGCGTCTCCTCCACTATGGTGCGAAAGGCGACACGAATCATGCGCCTGCCTTCTTCTGTATTGAGGCTTCCGCCATAGCCACGATGCAAGGTCATCAATGCCACATCCGAGTTACCATTGTGCCACAGGGCAATCGCTTTGAACGGTGCCAGGTCTGAGTATATGTTTGCAAAGGGATGATTTAACTGCCGACAGGTCTCCGCCAGCGATTCCAGCTGCTGCATACGGCCCAAGGAGCTCAAGTACTTTAGACAGGAGATGAAAACCTCGTTGCAGGGCAACTGTTGCCAGCGCACGCATTGCCGAATTAGATAGAGGAAGTCCAGTTTGTTCTTAATCTCCAGGGTGGCCAACAACAAGTTGTCCAGCTGTGGTTGTGAAAGAGATCGTATATCGAGGCCTAGCTGTGGGGAGCGCAGGGCTTTCAGGTCGCTCATCATGCCCTTTGACATGAGACCCACGTTCTGGCCAAAGGTGCTTCCTCCATAATTGGCTTCCTCGACAGCAGGTTTCATCAGACTCTCGCGCAGTTCACCCCATTTTTGTGTCTTTCGGTTGACCAGCTCATTGGTGAAGCAATCGATGGCATCCAGTTGCGTGGACGACTTGCGCTGCTGTCGTTGTGATGCTCCCGGCCAGAGAAAAGCGCTGAGGTAGTTCTGAAAGCGTTGCAGCCCTTTTGGTGAACCGGGTGCTACTGTTGTTGTGCCGCTGCTGGTCAGGCGCGTTAGCATGGCCATCTCGCAATAGACGCCACTGGCCTTGCAATGGGAGACCAGCCACTCACAACAGAACTCGGATTGTATAATTGTATTTTCTGCATTTGTTTTTTCTTTCTTTTCGCACGCAGTTGTACCCTGACACTTATCGATATCAACTATCGATAGCTTAGCTTTTAATGTATTTAGTGCCATTGAAACGCTATATTTTTATATATTTATATATTATTTTATTCGCCACTTTAATATAATTTAGTGTATTGAAGCTTCGACTTGTTTATTAAACTTTCTATATCTTGTTGTTGT